TAACAGTAGTATTTTGATATTTCGCGGATTTTCTCCTCTCCTATTGACGCTTTTGGTTGGTGCGAGGTGCATTCTGGGTTACCAGGCTATCTCAAGTCCACACAAGTCACCTCTCGATGCATCCTCTGTAAACGGGGCGGATCAAGAACACATCCGGGGATTTGAAGTGGACTTGGCTAGATGTGAACTTTGAATTGGAACAGTACTTCGGCAGCGACTGATGACGTTTCACAAGTCCACAAGAACACAAGTACAGACAAGTACGGATATTGAGAAACGGCTAAGGAGCTGGCTGAAGTTCAGGAAGTAGTGCAGCTGGGCATAAAGCGAATTGCAATACAAATGTGAATCAATTTTTGTGCACACCCCTAATATTAAGTGTCCCCAATTAAGAAAGACAGAGGCAACACTGGCAAGAACCTAAACTCTATCAGGTGACATAAATAGAGAAAATATACTATAGATATAACAGCTTTACACAAATATTTTTTCAAACATGTTTCATTTTGTCTTGGAAATTTGTCACTGTATAAAAAACACTATTGTTGAGGAAATTGTAGTTTTTAAAGGTAAATGTTAGTTTAACTCAGCCTCTTTGCTGTATATGCTGTTTATGTATTAAATAAGTGGAAAATTTCATTCATATTAGTATATAGAAAATGTATTGTATGTGTACAATCTAATTCTGTGTTGTGACTTTATTGTAGGTTAAATGATTGTAACTTAACAGACAAAAGCTGTTCATCTCTGGCTGCAGTTCTTGGATCAGACACCAATCTGAAAGAGCTGAACATGAACAATAATAAACTGCGGGATTCAGGAGTGAAGCTGCTCTGCACTGGACTGAAGAATATAAAGTGTAAATTGGAGATACTGAGGTAAGTTGAGCCACAGGAGTCACATGACTAGAGTGAGGTGCAATGACTGACAGGACGAAAAGCGCAAGATAACTTTTGTGAAAAAGATCTTTTATTTATTTGTTACAACGTGGGTATACCATATTAATCCTGTCATTGTGCTATTTTATTGTTGTTGTGTATAAAGGATTATTATGCTCTTAGGGCTAATTAATACCCGGTGGCAACCACCAAAGATTGTCAGATCAGAACAGTAAAGGATGTCCGTTTAGGAGGAGCCAGATGCACACACCACTCACAGACCACCAGGGCTGGATTAACCATTAGGGCAACTGGGCTCTTGCCTCAGGGGCCCATGACATCTAAGGGGCCCTGGGCACCAGGGGCGGAGTGGCAATCGGGAGAGGTGGGAGTTTCCCCTGTGGGCCGGTTGTGTTTCGAGGCCGCGAGGGCCGATCTGATCAAATTTATTTATTGCAAGTTGGCCATGCGCACTTGGGGCTCAAGGGGGGGGAATTTTTTTTTTTACTTTTTAGATAACGGAGCGTATATTTGCACTAAGTGTCTGTCTTTTTAGCAAAAGAAGCTTGTCACGAAATAGCTACGGTGGCGCAGGTCGTAGGGCTTGAAGCTTTTGATGCTCTCGACCCGAGTTCGAAACCGTCTTTTTCTGAACTCTCTCTTCTCCCTTTTCCCAACACATATGAGATGTAAAATGTATACCCTAACACAGTGTTTCTCAAACTTTTTCAGCCCAAGGACCACTTTATCTTCCATTTTTTTTCTGAGGACCACCTAACAAAATCCCACTCTAACACGCCCCCCCCCCCCCCCCCACACACACAAAAAAAAAAAAAAAAAAAAAAAAAAGTTGTAAGGATAAGCTAAATTTAAGTTTAAATTTAACTCCTAACTGAGCTTTGACTGATATAGGCTTTTCATTTTTCTGTCAGTGAAGAAAGTAAACATAGGGTCAACTGATATAGGTTGATTTTGCCTATGAATAATTTTTCTATTTACTGAAAGCTAAAGCTTGGTAATTAAGTTTATTAACCCTTTCACACGTAAGTTTAAAATATTCTAACTGACCCCCAGCGTGAGTTTTTCAAGGCACCGTTATTTAGAACTTGCCACTTTAATGTTTCCATGGTGACGCGTCTTTGCTTGTCACGTGACACAGCACAACCAAAACACGGCGCTGAATGAAGGATGATCTGCTTTTGTCTTTTTTGTTAAAAATATTCATAAATGTATTAGCTATAACATGAAACACTGATATTCCGATTGTCAAATATGTGCAAGTGGATGGGTTTGACATGGTTTAAACATCTTTATAACGATCGCGTTAGTTGAGCTTTTAGTTTCTTTTTCAGTTCAGAGAATCAGATCTGTTGGATTTACAACGTCAATTCCTCCACTTCTCACGAAATACATGATAGTAAGTGGCTGGTGAACTGGGAGAAGAATAGGGTCAAATGTAAAGGTACTTACACAATGTGTATCTGATATAAAACGTGTTGTTGTCTTATTATAACTGAAAGGATTATTGCCGCTTCCATAGACATCAGTGTGTATTTTACAAACTCAAAATCATTGTTTTGCTAGTACTTATGTGTATTTAAATGTCTGAAACCTAAAATAAACATTGAAAACACTCAATAGTTGTGTTATATGACAGCTCTGAGTGCGTCCGTTGTTCTGTCGATTTGTCCTACCTTGTCAGATTTTCCTACCGTAGCGCAAAATTATAGCCATATCTATCGGTTCATCCTACCTCGTCGTAAAATCCTACAGAGCGTTTCTGCTTCGCGTCTGTGACTAAGTTACATAAAATATTTCTGTGTAACTTTGCCGAATTTTCTTATTAGGCCATGATGTTACGGTGATTTTACAAGTAACGTTACCTCTTCAGATTGTCCTATGAAATAAACGATAGGATGATTTTACGTTGCAAAATACCTCATCAGATTGTGCTACCAGTATGAAATAAACGAGTAGTATGATTTTACAGTGCAAAATGCCTCATCAGATTGTCCTACCAGTATGAAATAAACGAGTAGAATGATTTTATGTTAATGTTTTTATGAAAAAAATGCTAAAATGAATTTGCTTTGTATGAATGTGAGAGTAAACAGTTCTCATTACTGCTATATATCTTTGTATAGTAATAATTGACAAAAATAGTGAAAAACTTACCTCAGATTAATAAGATCTCGCGCAAGTAGTAAAATATTATGGGCGTGTTGTTCAGCGTGACAAAAAATGACGTATTATTGATGTGCGCATGCGCAGTAAGCCTTGGTAGGACAATCTGACGGGTAGGATGGAATGTCAGAACACCGTCTCTGGCTTAGCGCCAGCCAGCGCGCCAGGGCAAGTTTGAATTTAGCAGTTGCTGACGTGAAGCACTGAACATTCTAATCACACCGGTGTGACCGTACACATTCCAGGGATCAGCCAAGAAGACTGATCACACTGGTACGTGCGAAAAAGTGACGATTTTGTAAACACTTGCCTAGTTTAGGTCATCTTTTCGCGGACCACTAGGGGGCGATGGCGGACCACTAGTGGTCCGCGGACCACACTTTGAGAATTACTGCCCTAACATAAAGGTCTCTAGCGCTATATTTTGCCAACAAACTAAAATCGAAACCATGATATGGCTTTGTGCCTTTATAAAACAGCACAAGACTTTAAAGGGTTAGTTCACCCAAAAATGAAAATTAAGTCTTTAATTACTCACCCCCATCCTGTACCAACCCTGTAAGACCTTCGTTCATCTTCGGAACACAAATGAAGATATTTTTGATTGAATCTGAGAGCTGGATCACTCCTTCATAGACTGCCTAAGGGACTGGCTCTTGACGGCCCATAAAGTCATTAAAGAAAATGTTTAAATATTCCATGTGCCTACAGCGGCTCAATTATAAGTTTATCAAGCGACGAGACTACTTTTTCTGCGGAAAAAACATAAATAACGACTTTATTCGACTATTCCATTACTTCCTTATGGGCACATGCGCGAGAACTGAGACGAGGACGTTCTCCTTCCACTACTTCTTGTTACCGGCTGCTCACGCCCCCACCAGGGGAGAAAAACAATCCAACCGTGTCCATTGATTTGCATTGCGAGAGGCTGCCTCCTTGTCATTTATGACTTATAACAAAAAACAAAACAATGTTTAAAAGCTGTTGTGAGACAAGGAGTACAGCAAACAAGCCAAATAACCCAGAAATTGTTTTTTTTAAGCTGATGGCTACTACTCTGAGCACGCCCATAATTCATAATTTAACCTGAATGTATTTTATCTGAAATTCTGTACGTTGATTTATTTTATTTTTTTGTATCTGAATTTGTGAGCATTGAAAATTATTCATCGAAATTCAGGTTTTTAAAATGGAATTTTTAATAGGCCTGTTTAAAGGTGCAGTGTGGGATTTTTAGTGACATCTAGCGGTTCGGTTGCGAGTTTGCACTAAGGGCTTAGCCCACTGCTCACCCCTCCCTTTCGAAGAAGCTACGGTTGCTAAAACGGGACAAACTTCTCGTCGTCTGAGACAGCAGAGAACAGCCAGAGTAAGACAAGAGTGTGTAACATTGTCATTGTTTCTGTACCACAATCCATTATAAACCACATCATGGATACAGTTTACAAAGCCATAGTCAGGTGAGGATCAAGGGTTTTAATATATAATTTAATATAATAATAGTGATCAGCTGATTGTCTCACAAACGTAACCAGCAGCACATTTCTCCCCACATAGCAAACCCATAATACAGCGAGGGAGAACTAAGTTATGAAACAATGCCAACTACATATTTTACACTACTCAAGGGAAAAGTCACTACTCACAGAGTTTATGGCTAGTTTCTAGCTTTCTGCTAATACTACTACTGCTGCTTCTCTTTCAAGGTAGTGGCGAAACGCGTTCTGTAGCACTGTTTGTTCACGTTCGGCTACGGTAGAAAGATGACGTCACGATATGGCGACCTTCATAGAAGGGGATTCCCGCAGTTATGGAAATATAAATGTCTCATTCTAAGATAATAAAAACATTACGGTTTATTAAGTAAGTTCTTTATACACCACTGAAAACATAGTTATGGATGTCATATTGCATTTCTGTTACAGTTTTTCTCAATTGTTTACACACAAATTCTGGTACTTGAGACACAATGACCACAACATGTAACTCATTCACCAACCCACTGAACCAATTCTGATGAACTACAAGCACAATTCCTGCTTTACACTCAAATTGCAGCTCTAAAACACACTTTTTTCAAAACACTACACACACATTCTCTGCATTTGGCACAATTTTCATGCAGAAAATCTCTTCTTTTCATGAGGAACACACTACCATTCAAATATTCGCACTGACTCGTCACATGGACAAACACACGTCACACAGTTTTACAATTAGCAATCAGAGCTTTAGCATAAAATACCAAAACCGAAGCAGCATAGATTTTTACTGTAACAGCATAAACATTTTCTGTTGTCTATTCATATAATGGTTTGTGTGTGTCATTTGAAAATAAAATAACATTTTGAGCAATATATAACATTGTTTTGAATGTAAAGTTTCATTTTGCACTAGAATTGAGGGGTTTTGCCGATTGTGTGAGTGTTTTTAGATTTGTGTGTAGAGTTCTGAGAGTATGAGGCATACTTGCAGGAAATGTGTGTAAACAATCGAGAAAAACTGTAATAGATACTCAACTTTTTGACATTGCACCTTTAAATTTCAGAGGTAAATTCGAAACAAATAAATTCAGACGCATGGTTTCCAAAGTAAGATAATTTATAAGGGCTGAATTCCGAGCAAATAAATTCAGACAAATGTTTTTCAAAATAAAATTGAATACAAAACTAGTATTCAAAACTAGTAAAAGTATTCAGTGGCTGTTAAATTTCAAATAGTTATGTCTCTCATTTGCTTCCATACTTTTACATTACTGTATAACAATCGTGGGATAAGAGGCAAAGATAATCATTAGTGTGTGTGTGTGTGTG